CATAATTTGGCTATTGTTGAGAGTGCTGCTATGAACATTGGGGTACAAGTGCCCCTATGCATCAGTACTCCTGTGTCCCTTGGATAAATTCCTAGCAGTGCTATTGCTGGGTCATAGGGTAGGTCTATTTTTAATTTTCTGAGGAACCTCCACACTGCTTTCCAGAGCAAGAAGCCTAGATTTAAATACTGGTTATCAGACTCCAGAACCCCTGCCATTAACCTTTAGGTTGTTTGGTGAGATAAAATGTGCATTTTTTAAAATGTTAAAGTAGCACCCTATGCAAGGATTGGCAAGCAGTAGGTGCTTAATCAATGTTTGTGGAAGGCAGGCAGACAGACAAAGAGGGCGAGCAGGCTACCTGTGCAGTAGCTATAAGAAGTGCTAGGAGAAATCACATTAGATTGTCATGGGCAGCGTTTGCATGCTGGAAAAAGAGAAGGAGCATAGGGGCTGAGAGGGAGGAGATTATAGGTGAGTTCAGAGCATGTCTGAGAGGAATGAGGAGGCCAGTCTGGCTGGAGGAGGAGCTTGTGTGCAGATGCGTAGCAGGAGATAAGTCAGAACATATATTGGGTTCAGATCATTAAGGAGTTAAACGTTTCGGACTCTATTCTTTGGACTGTTAGAAGCCACTAAAGGTCTTTGAACCTAGGAATGGCATAATGAAAATGGGCTTCTGATCTGGCATTGGTTGGGAGGGGAGATTGGAAGGAAGATGAGTGTGGCTTGAAGCTGATGCAGTAACCCAGCCATTCTCACAGTGGGGTTGAGAGTGGGTGACAAATGGAGCGAGACATGCCCTCAGAGGAGGTGGGCATGCAGTGGAGTGCCCTTGAACATTTCAGGAGCCTCATCGCCATTGAAAGACCCCAGAGTTGTAGGGATAACACCCTGGAGTAGTCACTGACTTCCTCTGTTTAACTCACTGCCCCTCAACGGAGAGAAATTCTGAGACAGTGGGAATCAGGATAAGGCAGCTTGGATTAGGAGAGATGGGAGATTCCCAGAGTGTGGGCACCCTTCATACGAAGGCACAGGCTTCACCAGGGAGAGCTGCAAGGGGGAGGTCAGAGGCGGGCTGTGGGGAGGGTGGCAAAGAGGCAGGGCAGAACTTTACCAAGAACACATGTGCTTTAATGGTGCTTCTGCCAACTGAAATGTGGTAGAAGGAGCCCTGAACCAGGAACCCAAACCCTAATTAGGATCCTGCCCTGCCACATGCACAAAGTGACTTTAGTAAGTCATCTAAACTTCCCTAAGATACCCAATGTGCAAACATCCAGTCCAGTGCCTGGCATCTGGCTGATACGTAACAAATACATATCAAACATGAAGGTCTTAGAACTTCTGTTTACTCACCTGTGAAACGGGCTAACAGTCTCAGACTCACCTACCTGCCAGGGCTGTGGAGAGAATCAGGTGACATGTGGATTGAGAACATTCTCCATAGAAACAGTAGAGCAGTCTGAGGGGGAATATCATAATCTTCATGGGTCTCTTGTACCACGACCCTGTGAGTCCCCTTTTCAGAAGAGGAGGAGTGTTTTTAAGAATCCCTATCCAGGGGCGCCTGGGTGGCGCAGTCGGTTAAGCGTCCGACTTCAGCCAGGTCACGATCTCGCGGTCCGGGAGTTCGAGCCCTGCGTCAGGCTCTGGGCTGATGGCTCGGAGCCTGGAGCCTGTTTCCGATTCTGTGTCTCCCTCTCTGCCCCTCCCCCCGTTCACGCTCTGTCTCTCTCTGTCCCAAAAATAAATAAACGTTGAAAAAAAAAAAGAATCCCTATCCCTGGGGCACCTGGGTGGCTCAGTCGGTTGAACTTCTGACTCTTGATTTTGGCTCAGGTCACAATCCCAGGGTCGTGGGATTGAGCCCCATGTCGGGCTCCATGCTGAGGGTGCAGCCTCCTTGGGATTCTCTGTCTCTGTGCCTCTCTTTCTCTTTAAAAAAAAAAAAAAAAAAAGAATCCCTACACCTGTTTCTACCAAAAGGCAGCACCAGCCCATGTGCACGCTCACACTTAAGAGAGCTAGAGAAACAGAAATGATAAGTTGTCATGGACCCCTTGGGTACCAGATCATAAACTCTTCCAGGGCAAGAATGGGTCTTCATCTCTTGATCCCCAGGGCTGGAGTTGTACCTGCATGGAGTGAACTGAGCCCTGTGGTGCCCATGAGCACCATGCTTGGGGCACCGGGACCTCCATAGCTCAGAGCTGGTCCTAAGACCTGGCCAAAGCCAGGCTCCAGAGGAGGGATGGGTGGCCTCATAAACTTAACTCATTTCAAGACAGAGGAGTGATAGCAGGTGGAGGTGACCTATAGACAAGTTCGTTGTCACCCTGAGGGGATCCCTGTGGCTTTCACAGTCTGACTCCTGCCTGGCATTTTGTTCTGTGCTTTCATAGGACCGGCATCTCCTTGTTCCCCACACATAACCCACCCCCTCCCCATCTCTATCCTGGATCCTGATTTCCTCTTGTATCAAGCGCCTTCCTCCCCAGCTGCACCCCCTGCAGACAGTCTTCTCCTGTGCCAGGTGTGGCACATGTGTCCCCTCACCCATGAAGGGTTCCCCTACAGAAAGTGACTCTCCCTTCTCTGTCTCTGCTGCCCTCATGCTGTTTATGCTGTACCCACTTTCCTTCCAGACTCGTTAATTATAAATACATATATTTCATCTCTTGTTTTGCCCCTTAGTTCTTGAAGGCCTGAGTCCATACATACTTGTTATTACAAAAGCACAAACTGACGCTCCTTCCCCCAGGATCTGGCATAGTGTCTGCGAAGTGGGTGTTGTGTAAATATGTGCTAAAGGAATGAATAAGTGAATATCTATCATAATCATAATAATTTCACTTACCATCAGCTTCATCGGCATCTGTTAGTTAACAGCAAGGAAGTCCCGAACCAGCACCGTGTCTGGCACCTAGGTTGCCTTCAGTGAATATTTCCCAGAACACGAATCCCAGTACATGTCTAGAATCCTGGTTTCATGTGGAGTAGTGACCCCAGCAGCTGTCATAGGAGCCCTGCCTTGTGCAGGGTGGGTTTATTACACCCTAGGAGCAGGTCTGAGAGACTTCATTGGCCTCTATACCGGGGGCTGGTGGCAGTGGCATGAACACCTGTTTTTCATTGTCTCTGTTCATTATGTCCTTCCTTCCCTGCCCCCAGATCCCAAGCTGAGAAGATCTGCTTAGTTTCTTTGAGGGGGAGCAACTAGATGTGATTTCCCTCCAGCTGTTTCTTCAGTCCCCGCCCCAAACCTCAGAGCAGGGCAAGGTGTTAGCTCAGTGGGGTTTCTCACCAGCCTGCCAGGAAGGGGAGGGCACGGGAAGAAGAAAGCCTACCTGCAGCTGAATGAATCCCTTGGCCTTTCCACAGACAGGCGGTTTTGTTCCGCAGCAGAGGAGGTGGGCATCCATTTGACAGGCCTGACGTGCGCAAGGGTTGATAAGATGAGCACTTTGTCATGAGAGGCGCTTCCCGATTGTTTTGTTTCCAGGCCGTGGTGGTAACTGATGGGGAGCGCATCCTGGGCCTAGGCGATCTGGGCTGCTATGGCATGGGCATCCCCGTGGGCAAGCTGGCCCTGTACACAGCATGCGGAGGGGTCAGCCCGCAGCAGTGCCTCCCAGTCCTGCTGGACGTCGGCACCAACAATGAGGTAACACGCCACCCTGAACTGGAGCCCTGGGGCCAGAAGGTGGGGGGTGGGGTGGGGTGGGGGGTGCCTTTGAGGGGCAGGGTCCACGGGGACCGCCCTGGGAAGTGGTGTTTGTGCGTGTCTGCAGGCTCCACTCTGGGTCTCTGTGTCAGGGAAGACAAAAAATTACTCAAGAATTCCTTCTTAGTGACCTTCATCTCTGAGTTTAAAATCAGTGCAAATTCATCTTTTAAAAATTGGAAAAAATTAGGGTGCCTGGGTGGCTCAGTTGAGCGTCTGACTTCGGCTCAGGTCATGATCTCACAACTCAGGAGTTCGAGCCCCCCATCAGGCTCACTGCTGTCAACCTGTCAGCGCTGAGCCCACTTTGAATCCTCTGTCCCCTTCTCTCTGCCCCTCCCTTGCTTGCGCTCTTCAAAAAATAAATAAGTATTTTTGGGGCGCCTGGGTGGCGCAGTCGGTTAAGCGTCCGACTTCAGCCAGGTCACGATCTTGCGGTCCGTGAGTTTGAGCCCCGCGTCAGGCTCTGGGCTGATGGCTCAGAGCCTGGAGCCTGTTTCCGATTCTCTGTCTCCCTCTCTCTCTGACCCTCCCCCGTTCATGCTCTGTCTCTCCCTGTCCCAAAAATAAACAAACGTTGAAAAAAAATTAAAAAAAAAAAAATAAGTATTTTAAAAAATTGGAAAAAATTTGAGAAAATCAGAAGTGTTAAATATAAAATAAAATATCAGTTGCACAACCAGTACTAATCATGGTTTATGTTTTGGTGTATTTCCTTCCAGGCTTTTCCCCACCAAAGCATTTATAAAAACAAAATTGGGTTTATATTAAATTTTGAAACGGAAACCTTCCACAGATGGACACCCAGGTTGCTTCTAGTTTTTTTGCAAATATAAATTTACTCTGAGCCCATTTTTGTAGATCAGTTTTTGTTTCCAGGTGTGATTATATAGTCAGGATAATTTCCTAGAAATGGAAATATTGAGGCAAGGGGAGTGGTGATTTTTTAGGTTCTTGATTCATACTGTCAAAAACGTTATACTTGGGGCGCCTGGGTGGCGCAGTCGGTTGGGCGTCTGACTTCAGCCAGGTCACGATCTCGCGGTCCGTGAGTTTGAGCCCCGCGTCGGGCTCTGGGCTGATGGCTCAGAGCCTGGAGCCTGTTTCCGATTCTGTGTCTCCCTCTTTCTCTGCCCCCTCGCCCATTCATGCTCTGTCTCTCTCTGTCCCAAAAATAAATAAACGTTGAAAAAAAACAAAAAAACAAAAACAAAAACGTTATACTTACTTGGATTGTGCAGTGATCTTTCTCAAGATACTTGTCACGAGTCTTTGCATGGCCTTCCTCCTCCCTGTACACTGTACATCCCCATTGCTTTTTTATTTTTTAATGTTTACTTATTTATTTTGAGAGAGGGAGGGAGGGAGGGACAGAGCGAGAGAATCCCAAGCAGGCTCTGTGCTCAGTGTAGAGCCCTATATAGGGCTTGATCCCATGACCTGAGCCAACATCAAGAGTCAGACACTTAACCAACTGAGCCACTCAGGCATCCCTACCCCCATTTCTAAACATGAATGAGCACTTGTACCTCCTAGCAAGGAATGATGCTTATTTGGGCTTCATCCACAGATGGAATCAAAGGAGAGGACAGCTAGGCAGACCTTGCTAAGAGCTGGGAAATCGTGGGGCGTGGGAGGTGAAGGAGGACAAGGGAAGTGGGAAGCAAGGACCCTGGTCCTGCATCACTGACAGCCAGGTGAGTCCCTGCACCCATTCTGGTACAATGAGGAACTGAACCAGAATGTTTTTGAGTGTTCTACCTCTAAAGCTCTTCTCCACATGCCTCCCCTCCAGCCTCGGAGACAGGAGGCAGGATGGAGACACAAGCCTTAGAGTTGCTCCATAAGACCAGTCCTCAAGGTCTGCTGTATGCTGTGTGTGGTTCTCTTTCCTAGACCAGGTGCCTGGGTTTTGCTGAAATTGTCCTTTGGTCTCAACATGCATGGAATCATGCAGGCATGGATGAGTGTAGCGAACTTTAAAAAAAAAAAATTTTATTAGTTTTCTTTATTTTTGAGAGGGAGAGAGAGACAGAGTGCATGTCGGGGAGGGGCAGAGAGAGAGGGAAACACAGAATCGGAAGTAGGCTCCAGGCTCTGAGCTCTGAGCTGTCTGCACAGAGCCCGATGTGGGGCCAGAACCCACAAACCACGAGATCATGACCTGAGCCCATGTCGGATGCTCAACCAACCAAGCCACCCAGGTGCCCCAAGCGTAGCAAAGTTTTAATTGTTCTTCCCATCCAATACTTCCTGCTGTGTTCCCACTGGATTTAAATTTTTTTAATGTTTATTTTTTGAGGCAGAGAGACACAGAACACGAGCAGGGGAGGGGCAGAGAGAGAGGGAGACACAGAATCCGAAGCAGGTTCCAGGCTCTGGGCTGTCAGCGCAGAGCCCGACGTGGGGCTCAAACACACAGACCACAAGATCATGACCTGAGCTGAAGTCAGACGTTTAAACTGACTGAACCACCCAGATGCCACTCCAACTGGATTTAATTGAGACCTTTACTCACTGTCTCCTAAGAACCTGCTCCAAGCAGCATTGAATCTGATCCTAAGACCTCTGTATCCCCTGGAAGGGTGTCAGTCGCCTGTAGCACATGCATAAAGTCCTGTGTCATTAAAAGTCCAACACCCTTGCAATGATGTGCTAAAATCTAGAGCCCCAGCTTGTAATAAACCCACCAGAAGAGATGGCAGGAAACTATGAGTAAATCATGGCCAGGCAGCTTTTCACAGACCACCCTGTTTAAGCTTGACAACCCAGAGAAATTAATTTGCCCACAAAGATCTGCTAGGAGTGACAAGGCAGGGATCCTAATCTGTATCTGCCCTCCTCTTCCCATACCACAGCTGCCTGCCTGGCTTCCTGCTGCTTTGTAAGCAAAGGTCATTTCTTGATTTTTAGAATTTTTATTACTAAGGTCACTTGAACACATTATTCAAAATCTTAAAACAGAAATGACATTTCTCCCACAATGCTACGTCTATGTTTCTTTCCAGTATCTGTCTATGCATAAACATAGATGGAGTAATGTGCCTATAATTTTGTTCTGATTTTTTCAATGAATGGTATTTCATGAACACTCTCTCTCTACTTACTTAGCAAGAGTTTATTGAATGTTGAGTAGGTGTCAGGCCTTGGCTAGGCATGAGGAAGATAAATGAGAGCCAGGCGTGGGTGGAATATTCTACTTGTCAGTGTTTCAATACTGCCACCTAATTGATCATTTTAATGGCTAATGTGTTACATCTCCACCAAGTGTCTGCTTCTCCCCCTGAGGCTTTAGGACTCTGAATCACTTCTCCCTCTGAGTGTGGAAGTGAGAGAGCTTCCCCTGGGTCTGCCTACTCCTGTCAGGAAGGACCAGAGTATGTATCCCCCGCTGAGAGGGGAAAACACAAGGTGAGAGGAGGCGCTGCCCCCACAGCATGAGGTGAGAGAAAGCAGTTCCCACCCCGTGCAGTTAGACCAGTACCAGTATCTGCAATGTGCCAGGGCTTTATAGATTTTCATAGCCTTTATAGATTTTAACATATTTTATAGATTTCAATCTCATTTAATTCTGACAGCAGCTGTATGAGATATTGTCCTCCCCCATTTTATAGATAAAGAAACTGAGACTGAAACATGTTAACTACTTACCTCAGGTACCACAGCACTGAGTGTCAGAGCTGGGATTTGAACCTGGGTATCTCTGATTCCAGAGTTGCCTTGTCCACTGTGGCACTCTTCTTCAAGGGGTCAGGCATTCATGTTATAGACTAGGTAATGAAGACTGGGAAGCAGGTGTTTCAACCAGTCAGAGTCCTGTGGACACTCAGGCGTAGGTGTGCTGATGTTATCTGCAGGGTCCTCTTGCTCCAGAGAAAGGCAAGCTCCCACCAGACCCTCCTCACAAAATTCAAGACACAAAAATCCAAAGTTACAAAGCGGCCCATATCAGGAAAACAGTGGTTTCACTCTTTCCAGATGCATTCACTATATGATGTCCCACACTACAGTTCTTTTTAAAAAAAAGGAGTCAATTTGCAAGATTCCCACCCCCAAACAAAGTCTTGGGGGCATATTCCTAACCCACCCCCCAGAGCAAGCCCCCGCCCCCCGCCACACACACACACACACACACACACACACACACACACACAGCAAGCCAGAGCAACGGGAGAGAGGCTTAATCTTGCACCTTTCATCTCACATGTCAGTGCAGGGAGGGTGCTGTTGTGGGGGGCTGTAGGGTCAGGATGATGACACCATCTGTGTGTGCAGCTCTGTGAAAACCCCTGAGGCAACAGGAGCTTTAATCAGAGTCAAGGAAAACACCCCTCCATGTTTCCTGTTGAAGGAAAACATCTGCTGCCTGCAGCCCTGAAACTGAGTCACTTTTACCTGCCGCCCCCAAGGAGGTTTGGAAAGATAAATATGGTGGGCAGTGATCCCATGAAAAGGGGACATCCCATGCTTAACTTCTAAAGGGACAAAGCCAGGGAGCCCCTCCCAGATAGGCCCACCTGCTCTGGGCCTCTGTCAAGGCTGTGTGTGGACCGGTTTGTACGTTTTATTTCCTACACATGCAAGGCCAGACGGCATCATGCACTGTCCACATTAGAAGGGACTGGAATGATAACTGCCCCTTAAATAACCCAGGAGTGAGGGGTGCTAACCCCCATGCAGTTGAAAATCCATATATAACTTTTGAGTCCCCCAAAACTTACTAGTCTACTATCCACAGGAAGCCTTACCAATAACATAGTCGATTAACACATACTTTGTATGTTGTATGTGTTAGATACTGTATCCTTACAATGAAGTAAGCTAGAGAAAAGAAAAGAATATTAAGAAAATCACAAGAGAGGGGCTCCTTGTGTGGCTCAGTCCATTAAGGGTCCGACTTCAGCTCAGGTCATCATCTCGTGGTTCATGGGTTTGAGCCC